GCCTTGACCCACTTACTTCCCAGCTCCACCCTCAACCAGGTTAACCCTTCTCATCTGCCAAGTCCCTTCAGAAAGGTAGGTGATTTTAATCTGTGGCCCTCAGGCCTGGTTTTAATTGTTTTTGGTCAAACATTCTTTTAAGTGGTAGAGCACTGGTCTGCCCATTTGCTGTACAAAGGTAATTCGTGGTTGCTGTGATGCTGAGCATTGTGATACTAATGTGTCAAATGTGTTAATGGTTACTCATGGTAGACAGTGTTTGGTGGAGCTCTCAGATTAAAACAAGCTTGGGAGCAGGAGTGGCATCCACTTCTGAAATAGCTTGCCTTTGGAAACCCTATGAGCTTGGAGAAACGATGAAAGTTATACAAGTGTTCAGGTCTTTCATTCATTGTATTGTTATGAGTCGTCTACAACTCAATGACACTTAACACAACAACAACAACAACACCTTATTTCAGGGAGCTCTGGTGTTTCAGGGTCAAGAAGCTGTGCTGCAAACACAAAGGCACAATGTCTGAATCCACCGGCTGCTCTGTGGGAGAGGGATAGACAACCTCCTCCCATGCAATTAACTGCCTCTGAAAACCTCTGGAGAGTCAGCTATGTGTTGGTTCCAACTCAATGGTACTTAACAACAACACCACTTTGCTGCAAGGAGCTCTGGTGGCCTAGTGAACAAGGAAGTGTACTGCCAACCCAGAAACATGGCTTGAATCCAACAGTTGTTCTCAGGAGAAAGATGAGCAGTCTCCTCCCACCTAATTTATAACCTATGAAAACTTGCTGGAGGGTTAGTTCTGACTTGGTGGCACACAACACCCTATTGTGATGAATACTCAGGTCCTGTCAAGTTGCTTTCCAGGCAGAATGTGCTTAAACTGCTTCCTTAAGCATGGAGAATCCAGAGCAGAAATAGAGAGGATGCTGATTCATTGTAAGGAATGAAATCAATGCCAATGAATATTTCATATACAAACTATCACATAGGAAACTAATTTGCTCTGTAACCATTTACCTAAAGCACAATAAAGCATCAGAGTTAGATCCTTTATCCATATAAATTTACTCTGTATGCTGAACAAATTATTCAAGAAACTGGACTCTAGAAAGAAGAATGTGGCATCAGGATTGGAGGAAGACTCATCAATAATTTTTTTGCTATGTTGATGACACAACATTGTCTGCAGAAGGTGAGGAGGACTTGAAGCACTTGCTGCAGAAGTTCAAAGACTACAGCCTTCAATATGGATTATATCTCAATGTCAAGAAAACAAAAATTATTGCCACTGGATCAGTAGGCAACATCTTGATAGATGGAGAAAAGACTGATACTGTCAATGATTTAGTCATACTTACATTCACAGTCAATACCCTTGGTACCAGCGATCAGGAGATCAGGAGATGTATTGCACTGGGAAAGTCTGTAGTCAGAGACCAGACAAATTATTGAAGAGCAATTATGTCAGTTTGAAGACTAGATGCACCTAATCCAGGCGATGGTCTGTTTCAGTCACTTGCTATACATCTGAGAACTGGACAATGAATAAGGATTACAGAAGAATTGATGCCTTTGAACTGTGGTGTTGGAGAAGAATGCTGACTATCCCATGGATGGCCAAAAGAACAAACAGGTATGTCTTGGAGAAGGGGCAGCCAGAGTGCTCCTTGGAGGCAAAGATGATGAAGTTTCATTTCACATACTTTGGGCATGTCTTTAGGAGAGACTATTCATTGGAGAGTGACATAATGCTTGGGAATGTGGAGGGACGGCAGAGGAGAGGAAGACCCTCAACCAAGTGGATTGACACCGTGACTGCAGCAATTGGCTTGAGTGTGTCAGAGATTGTGAGGATGGCATGGGATAAGACAGGTTTCAGATCTATTGTTCATTGAGTTACTATGAGTCATACTAGAATTGAAAGCATTTAGCAACAATAACAGCACAATAAAACTTTTTTTTTCCCTAAAGAGTCTGTGTAAACAGATGTGTAGACCTCAGAAACCCTACGGAGCTTTGCCAAGAATTGTAATTGGCTGAACAACAGTGAGTTTGTTTGATTTTTTTTTTTTATTATCTTTTAAGTAATTTTCCCTCCCATCCCACCAAATAATGTTTATTTCTTTATGTAAATCTTTTTAAACTCTACAATATTAGTACTTTGTGATTGACTTTCTTTCATCCACATAATATCAAGGTTCATCCATGCTATAAGATGTTTCACAGATTGCTTTCTTCCCTATTGTTTTAAACTGTGCATGTCCATTCATGCCATGCTCTTTCCACAGAATGCCAAGTGTAGCTGAGTAGATGTCATCAATAACAAAAAAGTTAGACCATTTTAGCATAAAAATACATTTATTAATTTTGGGCTTTCAGAGCATCCCTTAAGCTCCCAGGACTGTATTCTGTGGAAAGCAAACTTTTTGCATATGAACACATGAACTTTTATTTCTGTTCTACATAGCTGATTTGTAAGCATTGATTTATTTGAGAAAATACAGGGAAGTGATGAAAAATCAAGTGCCAATCCTCACAAAGCAATTTCTGGAAATACACACCCTCTCACGCAGTTCTAAGTCCTTAATTGTGGCTGATATACAGTTGGCCTTTTACTCATGACAACCCTATACACAACAGAATGAAATAGTGACCATATCAAGTTATTTTAATCTATATGGTTCTTGCTGGATGATTTTCAGATATTAATAGATCACCAGAACTTTCTCCTTTAGATCCTTCTCATCAGTTGAAGTTGAATTGATTCTGATTCCTGGTGACTCCATGTAGACCCAGTCCACAGGTTTCTAAAGCTGTGATTTTTCAGTAGTAGATTTCCAAGTCTGTCTGTTGAGGCATCTCTGGATATGCTTTAACCATCAACCTTTTGATTAGCAGTCAAATGTCTAACCATTTGCCATAACAAGGGACTCTTCCTTAAGTCCCTAAAAATGGTAAAATAAATACCTGAGATGAATGCTTGGACCAAATGGTCACATTCATTGGTATCAGTTGGGATGATGCAGTTTCATTCCTTGATGGAATCCAGCCTCATGAATGACTCACTGAGATCCTGCGCCCAGTGAAAAGGGCTCTGAGTGCCCCCTGCACATCACGATTCCTGAGACTATAGATGACAGGATTCAGCATTGGAGTGACTACCGTGTACATGACAGTGGCAACACGACCCCGCTCTGCCTCATATCGGGATGTGGGTTGGAAGTAGACGGCAATGACTGTTCCATAGAAGAGACTCACCACAGATAGGTGTGAGCCACAAGTGGACACAGCCCGGAGCCTCCCAGAAGCAGAGGGCAGCCGGATGATAGCAACTGAAATGGCCCCATAGGAAGCAAGAATGAGCAAGAAGGGCATAACCACCACAGCAGCGCCCTCAGTGAAGATGAGCAATTGGATATGGCGGGTGTCAGAGCACGAAAGCCTTAGGAGAGGCTGATGGTCACAGAAGAAGTGGGGCACTTTGTGGGAAGCACAAAAGGACAGGCGGGCCATGAGTAGGATATGTAGGAGTGAGTGGACATGGGACACCAGCCATGCAGTTCCTACCAGGGCTGTGCACACAGTCCGGGACATCCTAGAGGCATAGTGAAGGGGGTGTCGAATGGCCACATAGCGGTCATAGGCCATGGCAGCAAGAAGGCAGCTATCAGTGACGCCCAGGGCAAAGAAGAAGTACATTTGGGTCAAGCAGCCAGCCAGGGAGATGGAGCGGTCATTGACCAACAAGTTGGCCAACATCTTTGGCACAGTGACAGAGGTAAAACAGAGGTCAGCAAAGGACAGATGGGCCAGCAGGAAGTACATTGGTGCATGGAGGGTCGGACTGGCTCGGATGGCAGCCACAATGAGTCCATTTCCCAGAATGCCTGCCACATACAAGACCAAAAACAGCACAAAGAGAGGCCGCCGCTGTCCAGGACTTGTTGTTAGTCCCAATAGGATGAATGGAGTGCCCTCTGAAGAGTCATTGGCAGCATCCATGGCCAGGTAGTTCTTTGCCTGGAAATCCAGAGGTGCCTTTCTACTGATGGGTCATCTTCCCAGTGACTAAGGAAAAGGATGAGGGACAACAACATTGCTAAAACCTTCTTGACCATAAGAAAAATCATAAGCTTAGAGTCAGACCAATCTGGATTTAAATATTGGCTCTGCACTGAGGCCGAGTCACTTCATATCTCTGAACCTTTGTTCTTTCTGGGTCTTAAGTTCTCCATCATTAAATAAGGAGTTTGAGCCAGGTAATCATCAAGGCCGTATCCAAATTTGAGAATTGGTGATTTTAACTGAAAAAAAAAAATAATAAGAAAGAAAGAAAAGAAACAAAAACCAGAACAAGAGTCTGCAGGAGGATTTCACTTTTCTGTGGAGAACTTTTCTCACAAAGGAAACACAGGTAAGCACCAAGCAAATGTACAGCTCTTTTTGCAAAACTCGTGTGAATAGATAGACATGCCTGCCAAAAGCACAGAGATTTAACACTTAAAGACAAAGATTGTTTCAATGCCCCCATATTTTCCTATAAGGAATCCCATTGTAGAAATCTAGGACAATGCTCTAAGAGGGGAGTCTTAAAAGGGAAAGGGCTTTAGTAAATAGAGTTAGGGGCTGAGCTGTGGCTTATGCTGAGATTGTCCAGGAAGGATAACGCCTCTCTAATTTCTTTTGTCGTCGTTGTTGTTTTTTATTAAAAGGAATAAAAGTCAAGTGAAAGATGTCCTCATCCTAGTGTTTCCCTTTCTCTCCTTTACTGGAGAAGAACTTTTCAGCTTTGGCTCTCTGTAGAGCATCTCTGACTTGCTTTTGGAAATGGAACCAGCTTTTACCCCTATCTATGCTGCTCACAAAGAAATTAAAATGTGCTGAGCTGCTTGCACAGGCACTCATATGCAGTCACAAATACACAAGTGCAGGCATGCAGATATGTGCAGCCTGAGTCAATCTCTGAAAACACACAGGCACTATCAGTTAAATACAGGCATGTGGACCCAACATATGCATGCACACCAAAGTAGGCACACAAACAAGCACAACCCCATCTCCAGATAATGGTGCATGTAAACACACAATCAAAGGCAATCACACATTGCACCAAAGCCAGAGAATGACAGTCTTATGGCAGTCTTCCATACACTCCTGTTCACGGAGACACACCTCACCTTGCACAATTACTGTGACCATCACACTTATTCATGTTGTTATTGACAACTCGCTTTGTGATAAGGGGCCCATTCATGTATACTCAGCCATACCCAATCACATTTTTGATCATTTATAGTCTCATGCACAGACACAGGCTCCCAAAGTTGCGTTCCTTCTCTGAAAGGCTATTTATATATTTGCTCGAGATGGGTCACACCATAGATACTGTCCCTTTTGCCCCACAATTAAGCCCAGATCAAGCAGTGATGGTGGTGCACAAATACAGCCTCACATGAAACACACTGTCATACTTACACGTTTGACTTATGCACACAATTGCAGACAGGAAGATAAATCTGCATGCTCTCCAGACTGGCCGTTTGCCCCCAGATGTACCCTCTGGCCTCTCCATATCACAAGTGGACACAAAAGCTGGAGGTTGTGTGTATCCTGTTACTAAAGGGTCTGAGGAGAGAGTTACTGGGTAATTATGGGTTTAGGGACCTTTGTTTCTCTCTAGAGGCAACCCCACCCCTGGCCCTCTTCCCTGGGATGGGAGATAGTGCATCTCTGGGACTTGTTAGGTTTTCTCTCTGGGGCCCAGTTTGATGAGAGAGGGATGATTGGTGCTGCCTCCATCTCTGGGGATTAGTTTTTGGTGTGGGAGAGACACTCAGGTACCCCAGGCATGGTGAAACTGTTGTTTCCCAGCCTTGTCCTTATGTGAGTATGTAAGGCAGAAAGTAATATCTGACCGACTTCTGAATTCCAAGCAGTGACCAGAGTTAGGATCCAAGTTTATAGGGCTAGGCAAGCTTCTTGTCCCCTCAGTGGTTGCCTGATGTTTTCTTGTAGGTTATGTAGGAGTGTGGGAGGGATTATGTCTGTGGTGATGTAAGTGGCTCTGTGTGGTGTGTAGAATTGTATGTCTTAAAGTGAAGAGAGCAGCTGCCTGTCTCTGTAATCAACTGTGTCTGTGAGTTTGTGTCTGTCTGAGTGAGCAGTTGTATCTGAGTCTTTCTGAGAATGTTTCCACATGCACTTCATCAAATTGATCTATATTTGAGGGAATATGTGTTATTGGGTAAGTAGGTGATCTGAATGAATTGTGTGAAAATGACTTTGCAACATCCAGTGTTAGACCACTCATAAAGGGAGATTTGAAACATGAACTTTTAACAAAAAAACTTTTGTTTACTGAATACAGTGCAAATTCTCCTGCCTGATATCAAGTCCACAAGATATCCTTCCCTTGCCAATTCCTCAAATTTCCCTTCACTTCTTCTCCAACACACTCCAATGAAATTTATGTCCTTAAAATCTCTTGCACTCACCAAACTCATTTCACTTCTGTGCTTTTGTGTTTACTTATCTTTCCCTCTGTTATACCCTTTCCCCACAATTCTGCTTATTCAAACCCAGTTCATGCTTTAAGGTACAAGACTTGTGTGATAAGTGCTCCAAATCTTTCTCTAGCCCAAACCTACTCCTCTCTTCATTGCTGGTCTTAATAAAGGGTGTTGGTGGCGGTTTAAAACGGAAATGTTTTCTCAAAATTGTCCAAATTTTACTCATTTTTTAGGACAAAAATCTGTTTTTCTTCCTTTATTCTTTAAGCTTGACTATATAGTCTTCCAACTCTTACCTTTCCCTTCTTGTTTGTTTTCTAGCTATTTAACCTCTATAAGGCCTAAGAGAATAAACTGCAACCTCAAGTTTTCTTTAGTTGATGTGCAGGATTTATGTAGTTATTGCCTTTGACTAGTCCACCAATGTTATATAGATGGACAGGTGTCCTGTAGGGCCAAGATGATGGATGGGGCTGTTTCATTCTGGAAATTTTCCTGTAATCAAAGTAGGTGCTATACGCCATGAGAATACAAGAATCCATCAAAGGAGAAAATATCGCAAAGGAGGTCTTTGAGTGTAACATCATTGAATTGGATGCAACCCTCAAACTCTTAGTCTTGTAATCGCCAACTCTTCTGATAATGCCTCTAACTTTTGTCATAGACTGCGAGTTTTTATAGTGATAGGAAGTAAGAAGATGTGAACTGGGAAAATATTATAGAATTTGTAATGGAAAAAGAAGTTTTTATTATTACTTAAAGCCTTTGTCAGAATATGCCATGCCGGGCAGAGTTTGAAATAGCATACTGGCTGCTTTAAAGATGCCAGTTCACCAGGAAATGGGTGGATTTCCTGAAAGAATGACCATATTACTTTGCCCTGAACTGATCTAGTCTCTAAACTGAAAATTCTAGATATGAATAACCACTCCAGCCCTGGGAGAGCCAGGATAGGTGATTATCCCTTCCAGGAATCCTTTAAGTCCTTTAAATCCTTTAAGTCATGATTGGAAAAGCAGAGGGTCAGCAAAAAGACAGGAAGGCCCTCAACTAGGTAGAATGATACAGTAATTACGATAATGGGCTGAAGTACAGTAGAGACTGTCATGATGTCACAGGATGGGGCTGGGTTTTATTTGGTTGTACTAGGATTGCTGTGAGGAGACTCTGGTGGCTTAGTCTTAAGAAGCTGTGCTACAGTTCCAAAGGCACACCAGTAGCTCTGCAGGAGAAGGATGGGCTATCTCCTCTGGTATAATTTACTGCCTCTGGAAAATCTAGGAGAGTCAGCTATGGGTCAGTTCCAACTTTATCTCTCTCTCTCACACACACACACACACACACACACACACACACACACACACCCCAGGGTTGCTGTGAGTCAGAAGTGACCTGCTAGCACCTAACAGCAACATGAAGTTCTACATCATTTAAAGAGATAGTCTTTTCTGCATGTTTCTCTCCATGAACCTGAGCCCTTCAAGTCCATAATCCCTAAGGGAGAGGATCTTGGTCCTGGTAATGAAGAGCATCACCTCCCAAAGAAGTCAAACAAAAGTCTTCAGTATTGTTTATAAATTGAATACTCAGGGCCTTGTCTATCTACGTGTTACAGCGACAAAGGAAATTTTGTCAATCTTATGAACCATAAGTGATGTTACTCCCAAGAATGCTGTATCTGGGAATCTAGCATGACTTAGGTGTCAGATTACTGTAGTTCCATTGTTCCAGAGGTCAGAGCCATGTGGTTACATTTCCTCTCCTCAACCTGAGCTTTGGTCATCTAATGGGTAAGGAGTTGTGCTGCCAACCCAAAGCAAGGCAAGTGGTTCAAATCCTCAAACAGCTCTGAGTGGGAAAGATGGTAATTTTCTCCTGTGCCATTTACAATCGCTGAAAAGCCGCTGAAGAGTCAGTTGAATTGGTTCTAACTCAACAGCAACAAGTTGAGTTGAATCTCAGCCTTACCTCAGGATGTTACAATCTTAATACAAACCAACCATAATATTAATCTTAAACAACTATATGCTAATCTGAATATGCTCATAACTCTGTATGAAATTAAATTTAAATAAGCAATAACCAATCCCTTGTTGTTGTTATGTGCCGTCAAGTTGCTTGAGACCCACTGTGACCCTATGTACAATAGCTCTGAACTCTGTCCTATCCTGAGCCAAAATCACTATCTCTGACACACCTACCCCCAGGATCCCAGGTACTGTGTCAATCCATGCCATCTGGGGTCTTCCTCTCCTGTGCTGTACCTCTTTCCAATCATGTCATTTTCTTAAGACTGGTCCCTCCTGATCATGTGCCTAAAGTATGGGAGTCAGAGCTTCAAAATCTTTGCCTCCAAGGAGCATCCTGGTTTCACCCTCTCTAGGACTGATCTGTTTGTTCTCTTAAATTATAAAAAACTTAATTATGCATAGCACTGAATCCTAAAGTGACTTAAAACATAGATTTGAAAGTTAAAATACTCTTCTTTTGCCTAACTCTGATCTAGCCCAATGCTAATCTAACTTGACTGTGACTTACAATTATTATAAACATTATCTACAATAAAGAGCCAAGATGTCACTTTAAAGACTAAGTGGCACATGACCTGCACCATGGCATTTACAATTGCTTCTTGTGGAAGCGGAAAGAACCAAGAGGAATTGATGTCTTTGAATTTTGTTGTTGGTTGAAGAGAAATATACCATGGGCCAACAAAAGAATAAACAAAATTGCTTTGGAAGAAGTCAAGCCAGAGTGCTCCTTAGAAGCAGAGATGGTAAGACTTTATCTCACATGCCTTGAACATGCTCATAAGTACAAGTGCTCGGTAAACGTCATGTTATTTGACTGGGTAACATTTAGGAACTTTTATGTTTTGAACCCTGAGGAACCTAAAGCAGCTCAATGACATAACTAATCTAGTCTTGGCTCTGGGTCTCTACCCTTCTCCCTCTCATGTTGGCTTCCCTTGCCTCCCCGTTTGTAGTCCTTTGGACAACGACAGGAGACACACAAGAGTCCCAGGGCCTGAGAGAGTGTGCTCATCCCTTCACAGTCAGTCCGACCCACACTCCCCCGAGCCCTCACGGGTGCCCCTGCCCGGGACAGCAGAATCGACTCCAGGTCCTCCGGAAAGCTTCCTTCACCTCCTTGTTTCGGAGGCTGTAGATGAGCGGGTTGAGGGCTGGTATGACGAGGGTGTAGAACACAGACGCCATCTTGTCGGTGTCCAAGGCATAGCTGGAGCTGGGACGCAGGTACATAAAAATCAGCGTCCCGTAGAGCATGGCCACCGCCGTGAGGTGGGAGCCACAGGTGGACGCAGCTCTGCGGCGACCCTCGGCCGAGCGCATGCGGATCACAGCGCCCGCGATGAAGCCATAGGACACAGCAATGGCCAGCACCGTGGCCGTCTGGATGAAGCCACAGACTGCAAAGAGGAGGAGTTCGTTGAGACTGGTGTCGTCACACGAGATGGCCAGCAGTGGGGGGATATCGCAGAAGAAGCTGTTGACCTCCCGGGACCTGCAGAAACTCAGGCGGAAGGTGAAGGTGGTGTGAACAAAGGCGCTCACCGCTCCGCCCAGGCCTGAGGCTCCCAGCAAGGCCAGGCACAAACGCGGAGACATGGCTGTCGTATAGAGAAGAGGGTTTCCGATGGCCACGTAGCGGTCATAGGCCATGGCTGCCAGCAGGCAGCACTCGGCATCCGCCAGGCCTGCGAAGACAAACATCTGGAGGGCACACGCTGCGTAAGGGATGGTGGCACGGGGCAGCAGCAGGTCCACTAGCATCTTGGGACCGATGGCCGAGGAATAGCAGGCATCCAACAGGGAGAGGCTGGCCAGGAAGAAGTACATAGGTGTGTGGAGCCGGCCGTCGACTCGGATCAACAGCACCATTCCCACGTTTCCGAGCAGGCTCACCAGGTAGACAGGTAGGAAGATCAGGAAGAGGGTTATGCGCAGGTCCCAGCGATCCGTGATGCCCAGGAGGATGAACTCAGCAGGCGCAACCCTGGCCCATGTGAAGTTCTCTGGAGTCATCCTGCTGGACAGAAACTGTAAGGGAAACAACAGAAACTGTAAGGGAAACAAAGCAAGGAGTAGATGGAGTTTGCCTATGTACTAAGATTGTCGTTCTTGTTGTGTACGATTGAGCTGGAACCGACCTGATCCTTCCGCGGGTTTTCACAGGCAGTAATCACATGGGAGGAGATGGCCTGTCCTCCCTCAGAGCAGCTGGTGAATTTGAATCATGTGTCTTCGGGATTGCAGCGCAGATTCTTAACCGCTAGGCCGCCAGAGCTCCCTATGTACTAAGAAGAGTCTTGCAATTCACTATTGTACCTGCAAGGCATACTTACGTATTCATTGCTGAATACATGTCATTTGAAAACAGTGAAAAAGAGTATACTCACTTCCTAGGGTATTAATGGAAGCAAATCCTTCACTTCTCTCAGCTTAATTTTTCTCATTGTGAAGTAAGTATCATAATATAGGAGTTGGGAACTTCTAAAAGGAAATAAGTGTGTCATATAGTGCTGAATTAAGAGCTCTTTGTCCTTTAAGATGGAAAAAGGATGGGCAGTCTCCTCCTCTGCATTTTACTGCCTCTGAAAAGCCACTGGAGGATGAGAAGTTTGGATGTTTTGCAACAAATATGCCTGATGAGGATGATGAAGATCTTCCTACAAAGCAAAGTTTAGATGAAAGAATCTGAGGTTATCACATGTTGGCAGAAATGTGAATCAGTATATCTGGAGAACAATTTGGCGGTTTACTATTCAAAGTTGTACATGGCTGGTACTCCCACCTCTTGTTTACCTTTGAAGACACATGCACAAGTGGGCATATACATGAATGTGCACTCCTGAACCATTTCTCATAGACAAACATTGATACCGAAACAGGAGTGGATTTAACCTGTATCATCAATAAAGAGAAATCTTATAAACCTGAGATAAAAAGTAGTTTCAGAAAAAGATATAGATTTATGAAAAGGAAAAATACAAAGTTTTTTTTATGTATGTTTTCTCTGTGTATACAAATGTACTACTATTTGTTCCAGGCAGGAAGGAGAATCCCAGCTAAAGGACTTCAGGATATTTTAGAGCGTCTCCTCAATTTTACCCTTCCTTTCCGTATCCAGAGCTAATCTTCCCTATTTAAACAAACAAACAAACAAACTCAGCACAAGGGTCTTTTCCAGAAAACCGTATCCAAACATCTCAGCCCTCAAGCCTTTATGATGGAATCTTACTCACTTAGCCCTCTGTATATTAACTCCACTGTTTTATTGCTTGTCTAAGGAATTGTCTTTATTTAAGCAAACATTTTGAGGTTTGAGACTATGGCTAATTTAGTATTCTTAAGGATAAAGAATTCTAGATATATCTTCCTTTTCCTTGGTAGAGTCAAAAGGTAGGGATCACATGAGGGTATAGAAAAGAATGAGGTTCATTGAGCTACATGTTCTCTACGGACCAAATCAGCTTGTTAGCTGAGTTATTGATACAGAACTTTGTTCCTGGTCAATCCCTATGTGTTTCAATCTTTCACTTGGAAAACAAGCACCACTCACCTTTACAGAGTGAGGAGCAGGGCTGCTTCGATGGCCTTTCCATTTCTCCATCTGTAAAATGGGAACAATGACATTTTTGGGCAATTTAAGATCTTTTGCAATTTTTTTTTTTCAAGCTCAAGATACATAGGACTCTTGGAATGTATGTATGCCAATCTCCACCTTCAAACCCAGCTTGCCCAACAACAGATGGCCATTCTGAAAAATTTGCAAGCGTCTATGACACCCTTGGCTCCTGGGAGGGCAAGCAAGATCTCTCTTCCAGCTATATCTCGTCATCTGGTTTTAAGTCACTTGCCCCAATTCAGTAAATGAATTGTGAAACAAAAAAAAAAAAAAGAGTGCAACTGTAGAGATGATTTAGAGATGATTTCCTTTTCTCTTTTGTGTTATTTTTAAAAATGCCAATCCAATTCATTGTATAATACTTTAAAAAAATATAAAAATGTGTACGACTATATCATCTCACCCCAGTAAGAATAGCAAAATTTAACAGAACAGCAAACATCAAATGCTGGAGAGGTTGTGGAGAAACTTGAACCCTTATTCACTGTTGGTGAGAGTGTAAAATGGTGTAACCACTATGGAAGGCTGTATGGTGCTTTCTCAAGAAGTTGCAAATAGAAATACCATTTGACCCAGCAATTCTATTACTAGGAATTTACCCGAAAAAAACCATAACCACCACCCAAACAGATATATTATACCCATATTTATTGTGGGTTTGTTCACAATAGCAAAGAGCTGGAAACAACCCAAGTGCCCATCAGCAAATGAATGGATGGAGAAGCTGTGGTATATTCACACAACAGAATACTATGCAGCATTGAAAAACAAGGAACTCATGAAATATTCTTCAAAATGGGTGAGCCTGGAGGACATTATGCTGAGTGAAATATCTCAGTCACAAAAGGACAAATATTTCTTAGGGCCACTGTTGTAAAACGGGATTGACATTGGGGTTGAGGGAAGACAGAGAAGGAGGGGATGAATTATGTACACTGCATTGAAACAGATGAGGGAGAGAACTGTTTAAAAGGGATATATGATTGGGTAATATTGTCATGACAGGAGTCCAGAATGAAGTTGAGTGTACTTGAGGGGAGGGATTGCATAACAATTAAAGAGTTTTTCTTTTACTTTTCAAGGAGAAGAGTGAATTGGGGAGAGGGTGGGCAGGGAAAAAAGCGCAACAATGAGTGAATGGGGGTAAAAAAGAAAAAAAAATGTATTAAATGAAAAATAATTGTCCCTCTCACTTTGCCTCAGAGTCCTCTATTTTCAGTTTTTAGAAAGAGCAACTGCTAGCAGTTTCTTAAGTATATTTTCTAGAAGTATTATGTGACTTTATCAGCTCAAGTAGTTGCTTTTGGGTCAGAACTGACTCATAACTGACTCTTCAGCAGGTTTCTGGTGGTTATAAATGGCAGTGGAGATGATTGACCATTTTTTTCCCATGGAACTGCTGGTGGATTGAAACCACCTGATGGTACAACTCCTTACCCACTACCCCACCAGAGCTTCCATGTGAGCATGCAGTATATAAACATGTGCATGTTTCTAAAAAAATAAATTACAGTTTATATGTATACTGTAAACTTTCATGCACATATTTCTTTTCTGCTTAACAAGATATCTTAGCGTTCATTCTGGAAGAGTATAAAGAATTTTTAAGCCTTGTCATGGTACTCAATTATACAGATGCACCAACATTTAGTAATTTGTTTTCTGTTGATTGTCGTCAGTTATCTCCAATACTTTGCTGTTGCAGTAAATGCTACTAAATGACTATGTACACATCATTGTGCCAAAATGTTCTTGGATAATATCCTGGCAGTAGAAATACTATGCATTTTATTTGATAGATATTGTCAAGTTACTCTACAATGACATAAACCAAATTTATTCTCCCACCAGCAACATCTAAGAGCACAAGCTTTTCAATACTCTCGACATTATTGAGTTTAAAGACTCTGATCTTTGCTAAACTGATGTATATAAGTACTTCCCTATAATTTCAATTTATACTTATTTTAGTATGCATGAAAATGAGCATTTCTTTCATAACTAATTTTATCTGTATTTCTTTTTCTATCAAATGCTTCATCTTTTGGTATTTTTATGTTGACTTTTTGGTTGCTTTTCAAAAAATTATTTTAAAGAGATTATGTTGTTATTAGTCATTGATTCCAACTCAAAGAAAGAAAGAAAGAGAAAGAAAACTATCAACAGAGAGAAAAACTGCTCCTCACAGAGGCTGCTCCTCTTGAGCCCTTTGTCACAGGCACCCTGCCAATCCCTCTCATTGATAGTCTTCCTCTCTATCACTGACTCTACTTTCCTGAACATAATGTCCTTTCAAGATACTGTATAGTGAGGAACTCAGCTCTGTAATGTGTTATGCGTTTATTTTCATTTTGTCGTTAGCCTAGGTTTACTTAGGGCTTTCCCCCCCTCTATGAACATGCATATCTTTTTTTTATGCATATCTTTTTAATGTAATTTGATTTATCAGTGATTTTATTTGTAGAAATCTCTTTCCATTCTAAGATTACAGGTGTATTTTCTCAATTTTTTTTCCTTCTAGTATTCAAAAGTTTCATTATTATCTGGGATTTATTTTGATGTAAGTTATAAAGTGGGGATCTAACTTAATTTCTCTCCCCAAGAGGGGTACCTAGTCATTACAACACAATTTATTAAATAATAAAATCCTAAATAAAGGATACTTCTTCAGGATTCTGTGTTTTAATCAAGGTTATCGTTGTAGTGAGAAGTGAAGAACTGAATGATCAAATTATTCAGGACTGATTTCCAAGCTGTTTCTGACTTCTGGTGATAAACTATGTATATATTCCCCCCTTCTTCTCATACAATCAAATTGGATCTGACTGGCACAGGAGGAGAGTGCCCCTCCTTCTTCAGTGGAGCATCGGGTGGATTCGAACTGCACACCTTCAGGATTGCAGCACAGCTTCTTGCCACTAGGCCACTAGAACTCCCTCTATGGATACAATGTTAAAAAGCTCTGACCTGTCTTATCCTGGAGTAAAACTTGGAAGTAGGCACCTTCTCTCTGAATTCCTCAAACAGATTTTTGTGACAAATTATACAGGTGCATAATATAATTATATGAAACTATGTCTATGGAGACATGTTTCTAAATTACAGATTAGCAAATAAGCATAAATTAGCCTCTGCTTACCTTGCTTTTTGGGTACTCCATCTTTGTCAGGGATTTTAAATTTGAAGAGCTTTGATTCTGTATGAAAGTATTGTGGAGTTGGTAGAGAGAAAGATGCCAGTTATACCCAGTAGCTGGCATCAAAGAAGGATTTTTGATGTTATAAGAAAATATAAGTGTTCACTATAGACTAATAAGTAAGCACAAGTAAGTCTATGCTTATTTTATTTTAGTGGGTAATCTGCTACTGCTCTGACTTTAAATCTAGTTCTTTTTCGACAAATACTGTTT